CGTGATCGGGGCAATGCTACAGCCCTCACAATGAAGGAAAAGAACCAATTCCATCAGCAGAGCGGCCGAGTAAGGCGTAAGGTTTCTTGGCCGAGAGGTTGAGTAGGCTAAAGATGTTGCCCGAGTTGTCGCTGCCAACCGGGAGGCGAACACGTCCCGGAAGCTGGCCCTGTTGGGCCACCAGGTGCTTGCAAAGAAGTAAAGTGCCCAGGAGTTCCAAAGCCGCGATACGCTTCTGCGGGTTGCCATCCTTAAATGCCCAAGGGTGTGCGTCCGCTGTGATGGCATAATGAAACCACAGGACAGTGTCCTTGGTGGGGTTGGGGGAGGCTGGGCGCCAGCCCCCAACATAGGCTTCACCAGTCCTCGATGCACTTGCGTCACTGCAACCCCACCAGGGGGATTTCGGCAGGAAAGGTGGGTATTGTTCGAAGGGATGTGTGAAGAGCTCCTTCAGCAAGGAGGCCAGCATACGGACCACCTTGGGGCTTGCCAGGCTCAGGCTACTGACCGTAGCCGAATCCCCATCATCTGGTTGGGCGTCTCTGAAAGTTTCGATCATCACATACTCCTCTTCCATCGGGTGCGCCATTGCGTCGTGTTCAACAAATACCGATGTACTAGGGAGTTTTCTTCAGAATTCAGGTGCAATCCTGTGAGCGATTGCCACCAACTTGAGCCAAAATGTCCCGGTGGGACATTTTGTGAACTTCAGTGAACATAAAACTTGCACCCGCAAGCTACACGCAAGTGTGAATTTCAAAAATTTTAAAAGCAGTGGCAAACTAGAATATGCATTGAAAACGGAACGAATTTTCTACAATGAGCTAAGCCATTACAATCAGCTGATGCAAAAAGTGCAATCATGAGACATGTATTTTGACATTGCCTGCTCAGGGGATAGTATATCGATCCAATGCTTGCAAAATGCAGGTAAGACACACCTAACAATGTATCAAAGTGTCCAAAAATAGAGCGCGTGTTTATACTTCTTTTACCGTCTCCCTGAGAGCCACTCAAGCGCTTCACAAAGGTTTCCGGGCTTGAAGTCACCGCGTAGAGTTCTCAGACTTCTACCACTCAACTACAGGGTAAGCCAGTAAGCTGGTAAGCTGCCATCCGCAAAACCTGTCCTGTTCTTGTCAGGCAACTATGGCATGGTGGCCGGCTTTGTGTTTGGGAAACAGCCGCGGCCAATATGAAGCTTTTCTTGGCTTCAAGCATCATTCTCCCTGTGGTTTGCGGGTACAAACACTTCGTAGCCGCACCCTGGAGTCAACATCCAAACTGCAAAGCGCACGCGGCCGTACACACCTGGGAGCAGCACACCACACCCTGCAAAGCACACACGGCCATAGACATCTCGCAGCGGCACCCTGCACCAGCACCCAGGCTCCAAAAACGCGCACGGCGCCGAACCCCAATAGCTCTCGCTATCTGGGGAAGAATGGTCACCATAGAAAAGTTGCCCCAAAAAACAGGCTACTACCCACCGCGTTGGATGCAAGGATAAATACTGTTGATTCCTCCTGGAATGCAGCTTGGACATTCAGATTGACATTCGGGTCAAGATGTCTAAAACGAGAAACGAATCTGAGTTCCAAACCAAGGAAGGGTTTCTAAAATGACCACGGCGACGACAAGAACATGTTGAGTGGGGAGATGGAGGGACGGAGGACGACATGGTGAGTACAAATTAAAGCCCCAGAGAAGAATGTGGGGAACTAGCAAACCTTGCCCAAAGTAGCCAAAGCCAAAATCCAGTATAAAAAGAATGAGTGAAAAAAACATGGCAAAGCCGTCAGAATTTGCACCGAGTTGCTTAAGGCTCAATGCCAATAGCTGGCACCAAGAGACCTCCACGCTGGGAGCAGTCCTGGAGAGTCGAACAGTCCAATTTGCCAGTCCGCCAAATCTTCTTGTTACTAATAGCTTCTTGTTACTACTAGTAAGGCCAGGAGCCC